TACGATATTTTCTTCCAAGGTTCTGAACGATGCGGCTAATTGATCGCTACCGCCGCTTTCGAAACTAGCGCCACAAATGTGCAATACATCAGCAATGGCGGAGGATCTCTATTTGTTATGTTGCTATGGCAGTTAAACTTTTAAACAATAATAATCATTTTTGCTTTGTATATTAAGATAGGATTTTTTGCATTTTATAATTTGAACTTAAAATTAGTAATACGTACCTTGTCACAAATTTGATTACTATTAATTTATATAATAATGTACATAAAATTGCAAATATTATATGTAAGTGCATTTCAGGACTTTTACTAACATTGTTTGATTGTTATATATGAACGAACTGGCTTGCGTATCAGTTAACTTAAATTCAGATATTTTTTAAAAATATTGTATAAAAAGTGCATGACAAAAATCGCATTTTTATAAAAAAAATAATTTCTGAAGTAGACTCGACTCGACCCAAACCATTATGTTTTTTATCTATGACCCAAACCTTTCATTGGTTTCATGTTTTCTCATCTCGTATATCGTTACCTATGCCGTGCGCGCGCAGACGCGACGCCGTCATAATCGTAGCATTTAGTTGACATATATATTTTAGTTATGCATAAACATTCTAGAATTAAGTAGAAATAATCGTCGCCTGTAAATAAACATTTTTTTGACTGCCATGTGTTTATAAACATAGTAAATTTCGCTGAACTTGTTTTGATTGTTATAACGATAAACGTAATTGCGGCAAGCGTTATCATGATGAATGTTTACCATAACTCAACATATTCTCCAAACAGTTGTAGCGCAAATATGCGATACTGGGGATGGCACAGTATTCAATCAACCCACCTCTAGAATTATTAATGGATCTTTACACAGACACCTCACAATGACGGCGACTTCTATGAAAGAATATGCTGAAGTATGTATGCGTTTATTACTTGTTACTTATAAATGACAAACATTATCACCATTATATACTCTATTACAGTTGGAAGAACAGAACCAATCTTAATGATTTAGCACTTGTTTTCAAAGATAAAAAATATCCATTGGTGATTTAGAAGAATATGTCCAATATGTAGAACCGGTACCATTTATAAGCCAGTTCCACAGTATCCAATCCCTAGAGAAAGTCACCTAAATTTTTTAAAACCTGGTAGCAGGGAGTTTTTGACCAGACCTGTTCACATTCATGAATACTTGCCACCTATGTATCCAGAACAAGAAGGTACAATATGTATTTTATAATGACATTTTTCTTGTTTTGTAGTTTTATTATTATCAGTAATATTGGCTGTACTTCTTACTCTGAGTTTTACTGTTACTAGAGCTTTTCAAAGAACTTAGCATTTTATATGTAAAAGTTATGCACATTTAAATTATTACGCATCTTACATTTGTTTATTTGATGATGATTATATGCTTTGCAATCCTAATGTGCTTTTCTATTCATTTTTTATAGCTATTTTAATCAATCATCATTGTAAAGTCATAGTCGAATATCAGACATCTTTGTCTAATACCTTTCGTATTCATGTTAATACTCCTGAAATGCAGTCAATATTTTACATTTAATCTTTCCTGATTATTATGCATTTAATTAATGTTTGAATGATTATGCTCTTAACTCTAATGGATAGGTCCTATAGATTTACGTTTTTGTGTTACATAAAGGTGAATGTTTAAAAATACTAAAAGCTTTAATAAATACTATTATTAAAGCCTAAAAAAATATATTTATAATTATTAAACTTTTATTGTATTTGCAAATAAAAAATTATGTTTATTTCCTGAAAAACTCTCGGAAACTAAGTGAGATGGAACAGATTTGACTTGTCCTTAAGTGTTTAAGGTATACTACTTTGTAAAGTAATAGTTACTAGTAATATTAATATGATTGACATGATAGTTTTTAATATTTGTTTTTAAATGCATTGCACAATTTACATAAATGTGGTATTAGAATAGTGGTCAACCCAGGATTTTGAGTAATAGTGGTATATAATTTCGAAAATGTGAATAATAGATATTTGTTTTACTAATTTACTAGAACTAAAAATGTCCATAATCCCAATACCTTGATGCTAACTTGAATCGCTAAATGGTGAATAATAACCTAGTCGGAGGATTTATTCATAATCATTCTTTTCGAGTTTCTGATTTATTTTTCTTATGCTAGAATTAACCTCGATAATGTTTAACAGTGTAATGATTTCTTTTGAAAAGAATGTTTACAAATCTACAACAAACAAACATTATATTGTTATAGAGTTCTTATAATACTCGCTTTATGTTTTTGGTTTCAAATTATTTTTGGTCTCAATATACATTTTTTGCTTAGAATAGAGTTTATGAAAAATGTTTTAAATTCCACTGATGGGATTATGTTAAAGGGTGAATCATAACCTAATTGAAGGATTCATTCGAAATCATTTTTTTTGAGCCCTGATTGTTTGCTTTGACATTACGTTTATTGAAATTTTTAGCACGAAGGGTTAATAAACTGCTCATAACTTAGTTAATTCTGCTTTTTAGCACAGTTTTCAGGGCTAGAGTTAATATTTATCTCGATATTCAGAAATAGTATAATGTTTATCAGCGTAATGATATCTTACCGAAAGTATGTTAAGTTAAAATTTACAACTAACAACAACTAACACAAAATATTTGTATAAAGTTTTTATAACATTATCCCTTTATGTTTTTTGTTTCAAATTATTTTGGGTCTCATCGTAAAATATTTGCTAATTATAGATTATTATAAAAAATGTTTCAAATTTCATCACTCATTTGATTATGTTGAAGCGTGGATCATAACTTAATCGATGGATTTATCCGTAATCATTCTTTTCGGGACTCTGATTTTTTAAGCTGACAATTCAATATATATTAAAATTTTCAGTGAAAGGAATAATAAACTGTTACTCATGAGTTTGTTTATTATGCTTTCCACACACTCGATTTTCAGAAACAGTATAATGTTTAACAGGGTAATGATTTCTTATCGAAAGTATGTAAGTTTAAAATTTACAACTACATTACAACTAATATATGTATAAAGTTTTCATAATTATTCACTTTATGTTTTTTGTTCCAAATTATTTTGGGTCCCATCATAAAATGTTTGCTAATATAAATTATTATGAAAAATTTTTTAATTACACTCATGCGATTGATTATATTAAAAGGTGAATCATAACTTAATCGAAGGATTTATTCGTAATCATTCTTCTCGAGACTCTGTTTAAGCTGACAATTCAACATATATTAAAA